TTCCCATCACACAAAAGTGAACTTCATGGTAAGGAAACACTATAATTAGTACTCTATGGAAATGGAAGTGACAGTGGAGAACAGGCATCCATAATTATTAACCACACTGTCAGTTTACTTACGTCGGGTTTTTCTCCAGCAGGGGGCAGCATCTGACCATCACTCATGGTCCCCTTGCCTTAGCTGGCATGTAGGGAAGCTTCAGGAAGAGCAGAGTGAGTGATGGTAAGCCCTACCCGATGGGCAGGACACAGTGACCTCACCCATCCCAGCAGAGGCCTTGTAGAAATCTGATGCTGCAGGAGGGTCACTGGGAGTCTCTTTATTATGACGTCAAGAATCAAGATTGTCCTTTGTCACTAACTGTCACCACTCCATAAATTAGTGACTTAAAACCTTTGTGCGTTGATTGTTGATAGCTCTGCAGGTTGGTAGTGTGGGCTGATGTAGGTGGTGGTTCCTTTGCTGAGCGAGCTGGTCTGGCTGTGCATTGGCTGGAAAGATGTTGGTTTTCCACTTTCCTTCCAGAAGCTCGGGCTTCCTCATGATGGAGCAGGTGTCTGAGGCAGAGCAGGTGCACGCAGACTCTCGTGAGGTTCCACTTATGTTATGTGCCTTTAACCAAAAGCGGTTTCTCCATCAGCCATTGCAGAAGCAGGGCTGTGTGACCATCACCCCTGCCCCAGCCTGACCATCAGGTCCAAGGCCTTCCTTCTACATGCTTGCAAGTGCCCTCCCACTGACCTGCACAACCTCAGACTCCACCTTGTGTGTGGCCTGCTGGAGAGCTGCTTGCTGAGGCTAACTCGGTCAGTGAGTGAAGGACCAGAGCTATGCTGGGAGCGCAGTACCCCTCCCCAGCCTGCGTGGCTTCCTTCTCATCTCAGGCCGTTGGCTTTGTTTTTGTTTTTAGTTTGTTCTTTCTAGAGCAGTGGTTCTCAACCTTCATAATGCTGCAACCCTTAAATATAGTTCCTCATGTTGTGGTGACCCCCCACCATAAAATTATTTTCATTACTGCTTCACAACTCTAATTTTGCTACAGTATTTTCATACTGTTATGAATTGTAATGTAAATATTTCTGTTTTCAGTGGTCTTAGGTGACATCTGTAAAAGGGTCATTAGACCTCCAAAGGATCAAGACCCATAAAGCAGCTTGAGAACCACTGTTTTAGATAATTCTTTTATTTTCTATTATTTGTTCATTTTTATAGTATTAATTTTTAATACTAATTTCCTAAATTATATTGTGGGTTCCTTATTAAATTTTATTTAGAAGTATCTTCCCTGCCTCGTCAGGATGCGTTTTTTTCAGTGGTGGGGGCATTTCTCTTCATAATTTTCTTCATGGTTTTCCTTTTCTTTGTTTTAGTTATTATGGGGGGGGGGCTTGAGCTGCTACACACACATTGAGCTCAGAGGACAACTTTCCGGAGTCCATTCTCATCCTCTACCTTGTTCTGGTGTGGTCCCTCCTCCTATTTCTGTTTCTGTGTGCATAATCCAGGTTAACTAGCCCACAAGCTCCCAGTTGGTTCTCCCGTCTCCACTTCCACCTGGTGTGGATGATCTGGGCTTCAACAGAGTGTGGGTGTTTCTCTGTGCCCTTTTGTGTGAATGTCTTCTTATGTTGGTCTAACGGGTTGTTTTTGCTGTTCTTAGGGTCTGGCAGGCAGCAGGAAAACTAAACCAGGGTCATATGCTGCCTTAGGCCTGGCTTGGGCCCCTTAAAGAAGATGAATTGTGTAGAAAAAGCACATTTCTTAGCATGCGCTACTGACAAGGCTGACTGTGTTTTCCCTATGTGATTACTTATCACACAGACATCTGTTCCTCTGTCTAGATAAAGTATACTTGTCTGAATATTCTAGTGTGTGGCGAACCATTTTCAGTGTGCTTTGAGATGTTGCATGGGTTCTGGGGGCTTGTGTGTAAATGGAAATATGACAGGGCAAGCCACTAGGGAGGTTAGGATTTACAACTCGGGCCGCCTCATAGATCCATCTTTCCACTTTAGAAATAGCTGTGGGGATCAGGTAGGCTTCCACCCTTTCCAGCAGAGCTGGAACCTCTCACTGCAAAGTGGTCATTAGCTTAGCGTGTAACAATTTGAAAATGGCCCACCATCCCCTGAAAGGCCTAGCATTTAACTCACAGACAGTGAATATATCTGGGTTTCTTGGAGAAATTAACTGGACTTTTGGTAGGATATATGTTGTTTTGTGCCTTTGTATAGGGTTGCTGTGAGGAGGCCAGAAAGCCTGCTTTTAGCTCAGTCCAAAGGATATTTTTTTTTCCAAAGGATATTTAGTGAGCAAATTTTCCACTTTTTATCAAATAGGTATAATAAGTTAAAAAAAAAAAAAAACCCGTCACTGCAAATGGTGGTGTTTGAAAGCTGAGATTTGCTGCTTTTGTTGACTTGTGCCATATTTTATGGTTCTTCTACAAGTGCGGGCACACACATGAGTATAGACGTGAATGCTGCCCTCCCTCTTTATCTTTTGTTGTGACTTCCAAAGCTTCCTTTTGGGAACTACAGGACTAGGGCCTGCTTTCTCTCTGGTCCCCTTGTCGAAGGCTAAAGGAGCAGGAGGGCTGCTGCAGCAATCTGGGCTCGCATCACAGCAACTGTCAGGGCTAGTTGTTGCGTCTTTGGAAAATGATAGCTACTTCCAAAGATGCTGCTTTTGCATAAGTTGGCTTAACTTGGGAGCTGCCCTTGGGCTCACTCAAAGCATAAGATTTAATGGTAACTTGAAGCCAGGGAAGCCTGTCACGGGAAAGTAGCTTCTCCAGCTCTGCAAGTACTTTGTGCTAACTACTTGTTACTTGTCTGATCTTAGCTGGAACTTAGCTGGCTTGCCGTGAACACTGGGCCCTTTCAGCACCAAAACTGTACTCCAGTTTACAGAAGGATTCTCTGGCTCCTACTGCCTAGTGCTGAATTTTGACAATAAGTGTTGAATTTTTTTTAGGAGAGTTGTGTGTCTACCTGTGTGCTTTCAGATGTCATGTGGACCCAGAGACTCCTAGCTAGGACAAACCAGACTCTTATCTTCCCAGTTCTCCGCCAGGCTCCAGCTCCCTCACATGCTCGTGAGGTGCTCTGCTGGGCTGGGAGCTGCTCTGCCAGGTGGACGACAATGCTGAGCTTAGCCTTGCTGCAGCTTCCATGGGCTTACTGAGTGGCCAGTAGCAAAGCAATGTGACAGGCAGAGCAACAGTCATGCTTAGTTAACAAGTTAGTGTTTCTGTGGCATAGATATTACCTAGGTTTAACATGACTGCCTTGTATTAATCATTCTAGACTTTTGACAGAAAAAAAAAAATTCCGTAGTGTAAGAAGAGCATGACTTCTAAGAACTCTAACCTTTGAATGATCTGAAAACTGCTGCACTTAAATTTTCATGTGGTACTAGAGCGCAGGGACTTCTGCCATCAACATCAACAAATGATCAAATGCATCAAAGAATCTGTGTGTGCCAGTATGTGCAGATATAGACATGTGCGCACAGTGTGTGCACACATGCATGTTGGGGGAAGAGGTAGTGGGGCTGAGCCCAGGCCTTGTCCACAGTAGGCAGGTGTTTAATCACAGCTGCAACTCAAAACCCCATTACATGCTTTTAGTAGAAAGTAAGTAGGAGAGTTTCATTTTTGAATTTCATTTGTTTTATACATTTGTTTCTGAGGCAAGGTCTCTCTGGAATTTGCTTTGTAGCCCAAGTCAGCCTCAGATTCCCACCTTTCCTTCCTGAGTGCTAGGAACAGGTATTTACCACTATTGCCAACTTTGGGTTTAATCTTCTCGGGTCATATTTGGGGAACCTTTCTGAGAGGAGGAGCAGACCCAGGAATGAAGTTGGGGTGTACCACTGAGTTATTAGTTTACTTCATATTAAATATTTGATTAAAAATGCTTAAAACTTGTTAGGATCCAAATTAAATTACTAAGCCTTTTAAGTTTGATGAATTAATTTTCAACTAATAGAAGTTGGTTCTCATTTTGTAACTGTTACCATCCTGGTCAACACTACAGTAACTTGACACATATAGACACATTAGTCAGTAGGCTGCAACGATGCACGCCTGTATCCCAGCACTCGGGGTGGCAGAGGCAGGTGGATCTCTGTGAGTTTGCAGCCAACTTGGTCTACAAAGCAAGTCCAAGACAGCCAAGGCTACATAGCGAAACCCTGTCTCAAAAAACAAACCAACCAACAAACAAAAAAAAGATACAGTCACACACCCCCAGTTATAGGGCCATAGTGCAGCTTATTGAAGAAACAGCAGGGGAGAGGATGGTCTTTCCTTGGTGAAGGTTCACGCAACACTCAGGCAGGCTTGGACTTCCGCAGGGGAGCATGGGGATAGGCAGTTAAGGTCAGGGAAGTGGTGGGTAGGAGGAAGACTGGAAGGAGGTGCCAACTTTTTGAGAATTCAAAGAAAAGAGTGTTTTCAGCTGGGAAGAGTCTGGGAGCTAGCGTCATCTGAGTCATTAGTTCTGAAGAAGTACACCAGGGTAAGGGCGTACTTTCCCTCCTCTGTGAAGGGAAACAAGCCAAGGCTGTGTGCCTGCAGACAGGCTGGCGGGCTGCCGTTGGAGTGAACAGCTGTAGCTCTGTAGCATGGCTTCAGCCTCTAATCAGTGTGATATCCTACCCCCACAGAACGGGAATAATGGGGAAAACAAGACAGATAAAGCTAATGTTAATGAAGGAACAGTGACAGGACTCCTCCCCTGCTGAGTAAGTTGAATGAGGGAGGTGGTGGGCATACTGGTGGTCAGGGTAGGCTCCTCTGAGGAAGTTATCTGCATTTATTAGGCTATTTGCCTCATTTGAAGTCTACCACTGCTGCTGTTTTGGTGCATTCAGTTTGGCCAAACAACACCATCTATAATGCCACCCCTCAACCTTCTCCTTCCCATGAACGTTACTTCATCCATTTCTGAATTTTCCCGTTGTTAAGTTGGCTGTGTTTGCTCATTCTGCAGAAGCCGAAGCTGAAGGATTGGCACCCTCCTGGCGGCTTCATCCTGGGACTGTGGGCACTCATCATCATGGTCTTCTTTAAGACCTATGGAATCAAGCACATGAAGTTCATCTTCTAGACTCAAGGACAGGTGGAGAAGAGTGAATGGAAGCTTGCAGCCTTGGATAAAACTTAGGCTTTATATATTTTTAAACATGTCGCTTTTGTGTAAATTTGGGAAGAAAATTAGGAAAATTGAATTTTAATGAACTTTGGTTTTATAACTTAATGTACTTGTTTATTGGCCAGGAAATGTGTCTTTCATTGTGTTTGTGCATGTGTGTGTTGTATAAATGGGGGACAATGACATTGGAATATTTATCCTGCTTTCATTGTAAAAGTATGAATTGTGAAGGTGTTAATTCCCACTAAAGAGGCAACTTAGCTAATAGTTTTGTATGTGTTCTTACTGTTTTTATTATGTACATATGTCTCTACGCCCAGATCACACAGAATATGCCCTCTCACAAGCTTTGTGTGTATGACATATAATTAACCTTTCCCCTCCTTGGACGTTGACTCCCTTACCTGTAGCCCAGGCTGTTAAAGAGGCTGAAGAGAAAGAAGCTAATTGGAGCCTTGGGGTCGGAAGGTCAGCCTGGGCAACAAACAACAAACAAAAGAAAAGAAAATACCATGGTATGCCTTGATGTGTGGTGTTCATACAGCAGTCCTCAGTGGCACCCTCACCTTGTTTCCAGAGTTGTCCTTTGGTTAATTCTGGGGTGTACTAATGACTCTTACTCACTCCTGGAATTCTGCTGTTTTAATTGAAGTAAAGATGAAAACAAAGGCTTTGGTAGCTTGTCTATCTAGGAAATTTGTGCATTTGATAATCTCTTGTGTTAACTGCTCAGAAAAACATGCCCTAATGTTTTTTTATTTTTTTATTTTTAAGCATTCTGTGAACTTTCTAGAATTGATAGTATGTCTTCAGCTTTTGTCCTGAAAGATTACAGATTACCGACTGGCTGAATCTATACTTTCCCTGGGGACAGGCCCATAAACTGGATGACATGCGTGGAGCATACACACTATGGTCCTGCCTTCATGTCTGATGGATCCGTAAGGCATTGCACATTGCTTCATATTCTATAAGATAGAGGAGCTCCCATCCCAGCACTGAATCATCTCTGCATCTTTTCTACAGTGGAAAGAGGGCTGAGCTTGTGTTTTGTGGTCAATCTCAGATACTCTTTTCTCTTTCAAACCTTGGTGTCAGAGGGCTGTGCAGGGATGAGGTGTGCCTGTAGGTTTTTATGTGTTTTATTCAAGAACTTAACATGCTCATCTGTTTTCTTTTATATATTTGTAGCAAACAATTAAGAAAACTCCTCTGACCCCCCCGGCAATGGGCAAAGAGACACCTTATTGGAGATGTTGGATATTGTTCTTATATCAGTCAGGAGCAAAGCAGATGGCAATCCTCTGTTCATCCTAGCTTGACACCTGGTTTGGTGGCCAAAGCTGTTTTATGCCTGGGACATATAAAAACAAAATCAAATCAAATCCGGGCGGCACATCTCAGGAGGAGACTGACAGAGACTTGTGTACTACCTTGCCACCCACAGACCTGCCCTCTGGCGCATGGAATAGCCAGCCAGAGACAACTACATCCACAGCACAGACTGAGGATGTCATCCAGGGGGGTGGTGCTCAGATGGGAGAGAAAGAAGTGGAGTAGCTTGAGCATCATGAAGAGAGATGGAACTGGAGACTTGAGGATGGGAGAGGAGTAGCCTGTTGTGAGTGGCCAGCCTGGCCACCAGGGCCATCGTGAGGTTCCATCCTGAGCTGCCTCTGAGGGCTGTGTCTGAAAAGTCTGGCTATGCAGTGGCAGGGGTAGCTGTCTATCTGTGTCTGTGGCCCATATTACCACTAGAGAGTTTGGGGATGATCTTGGCAGCCACCAGGTACCATGTGGATGTTCTGTGGATGTTCAGGGGTTGTACAGAACTGGCTCTGCCCTTCACTGGCTGCAGTGCTCTGGAGAGATGGCCCAGTCCCTCACCAGAGGCACCTCTTGGGAGATCAGGCCCATCCCTCGCTCAGACAGCACAGTGGAGCTGGCCCTGGTGGTGGGAGTGGGGGTGGAGCTGGGCTGTAAAGACGGGAGTATGGGAGAGCTGACCCCGCCACTCATCTGCCTGCCATGGGGTGGGCACAGGTATAAAAGGTGATGCCCCCTGCTTACCCCTCACCACATTCGGCAGTCAGGAAAGCTGCACACAGTGTCACGAATGTAGGAGAGCTAGCCCTGCCCCTCATCAGCTGCAGTATTCCACACAATGGGCTGCTCAGGCCTGCTGCCCTGAGTGGCACAGTAAAGCCGGCCCTGAGGGTGTGTGGGAGGGAGAGCTGGTCTGGGCAAAGGGGAGATGCCCTCCACCCCTTCACCCTGAGGCACTCAGGAGAGGCAGTCAGGAGTACCGAGAGTGGACGAGATATCCCTGCCCCTCAGTGGCTGTAGTATTCAGAAGAGTGGGTCCTGCACCTCACTTGGGCAGCACAGTGGAGCTGGCCCTGATGGCAAATAAGGTAAGTCAGCCTTGAGAGAGTATGAAAGCCAGCCTGGAGGGAGGGAGGGAGAGAGCTGACCTAGCTCTGCCAGGCGGCAGCACACTGGAGCTGACTCTGGAGGCGTGGGTCCAGGTGAGCAGGTTCTCTAGGCCCTGGAGCGCTGACCCTGCCTCCTGCTGATGGCAGCATTGGGTATCCTAACCAGAGCAGTGCTGGTGAGTTTGCCCAGGTGGTGCAGATAAGGGAGAGCCAGCAGGCTGACCAGCTCAGCTACCACCCAGACCCAGATCCAGGCTCTGAGTTGTCCCACCCCAAAATCTGTATCGTCTGCTAACTGTTGGGATTCACTAAAGGGCTACTCCTGCTGCTCCAAAACTGAAGAATATTCATGATGCAGGACAACAACAGAATAACTAGGAGTCCCAGTGAGGACCCGATATTGACGGTGTCACAGAAGCCAGAGACCTCAAACCAGACCAATGACACGTTGCAATGAGCATTGCAAGTGAAGATGTATGGACAGAGGGATATACTGTGGGACACAGTACAGCTTCCACGATGAGGCGTTTTCTTGTTGAGAAACACTGCCGCTAAAGTCACAGTCCCCCATGACTGGAAAGCCCTGAGCTTGGTGCAAAATTGTTGGTGAGGCATCCTCTTTTCTGCCCAGAGAGCTCAGATCCACACGCCCTAGAGACTTGGGAATGTTACTTAGTCTTTAGGGACATTACCGCTCTGTATCCCACCACACCTTTAAGAACCCTTTCGGCAAGCACCTGGGATTCTTGGATGCCTCTCCATGTAAGTGAGGCATCTCAGTACCTTAGCCCTTCAGCCAAAGATCTTTACCCACCCTGGAAATCCCTACCCCATCCCAAAAGCTCTATATAACCCTCGTTCAGCCTGAATAAAGTTGATCTGCCTCCCTGAAGCTGGGTCTGGAAGCCATCATTTCTAGTCGTGCTCACGGGACCCTGAACCTCCCAGTTCATAGCTTCTGCTTCCTTTATCCTTTCGGACTGGTATCAACTGACTTCTCCCTGGGGGATGGGAGGGTCACATTTTTGTTTTTTGTTTTTGTTTGTTGTTTATGTTTATTTTTTTTATCTTGGGGGAAGTTGCAAGGGATAAGGCCAGTTATTAGAGGATGGGGAGATGAGTGGGGTGGATGATGTGAAAATCTCAAAGATTCAATAAAAAGGTTTGTCTAGCTCTGAGTCTTTATTTTAATTGACATTTTTATTGGTGCACTATATAAGAGAAAAAGGAATTTTTTTTTTATCTGACTATATAAAGAAGCATCTTGTGAGCACAGAGATGTAAGAACAAACAAGTTTGAGTGGCCAGATGTTGTAGTCAGAGTTTGACCATGTCCTCTAGAACACACACACAAGGTCACAGAGAACACGGTTGGGTGGCATAAGAGGAGCATAGGAACGAGAATTGCTCTTGAGCCAGAGTCCTTTAGTCTGAATGTAATGAAACATGTCTTGATGTGAAGGCTGCTGGGAAGAAAAATCTCCCTCCGAGGCAGAGTGGCACACAGGGTTAATTTGACCTAGGCACACTTTCAGAGAGTAAGCGGTTTTGTAGCTGTTTAGTTTTGTTTGTTTTTCTTTCACTTCTTCAATTTTCAGAGTACAACTGAAGAAAAAAACTTAAGCAGACTTTAAAAGTCTACTTATAGTCATAATCTTTTTACATGAAACTGTTCTGCCTTTAGTAAGTAAATCGCATGTGTGAGCATAACACAGGAAATAACACATATCCTAAAATATATTCTCAGAGTCCTGAAGAGCTGAAAAGAAGCATTTGCCTCTCTCAGGGTGGTGAGGACAGATGAGATAATGGTGTGACTAAACATTTCGGAAGTTGTGAATACGCAATGCTATTGTTCTCATTTCTGCATGGGATCACGCAGGGGCACGGGATGGTGACAGGGTCCCTCTTCTATTGCCTTTCTAACTTGCTCTGCCATAGTGCTGTTTTTGCTGGTGTTTTTTCTTTTTATCCCATGGTGTCCTTGAGGGAGAAAAGAGAAGTAGACAAATGGGCCCCTATAGACATGTCCTGACATTTCAGAGAGTGCAGGGCATGGCGATGCAGCCTCTGGAAGGCAGCCTGCGTGAGACAAAACCCCAGACAGAATGTTGTGATTCCAACCTCACAAGACATTTATTTGCAGCTTATAAAAGGGAAATGTACTTTGGATGCAAAGGTGATAAAACTGAATGAAAAATTAGAAGTAAACCCCAGAATAATGCATACATTTATGGTTTCAGGTTTTATATATTCTCCGCTACTTGAAAGTGATGAGTCCCACAGAGGCGGAGCTCAGCGCCTTCCTGCTTACCCAGTGTCTCTGTCCTGGAGTACGCGGCTAAGGCCTCTTCCATGTTGTATGTTGTGTAGCAGGGTTGCAATTACTGTGGGAATCGTCATTCGAAATCTTGATGCATGGGTTTCTGGAATATTTACAGCAAATGTTGAATTAACATATTATCCTTTTCCATTTCTTTTACCAAAATTAAGCTCATTTGTAGCAGATGCTGTTTTAACTTGTGAAAGAAATATTTTGTAAAAGTCCTGACAGAGATTGCTGTAGAACAGAGATCAGCGTCCAGGCCTGCTTTATGACACCAGCCTTGATGCCTTTTTGTTTCACTTTAAAGCTCAGGGCGTTTGCCGCTGTGTGCTGCCGGCACACCTACTCTGGCCAGCACACTATGGGGTAGTCAGGCTCCCCCTCCCCTTTTCTTTGGTGCAGAAAGCTCACTGTCCTGGAAATGCACTATAAAATATCCGGCTTTGATTATGTGCATGCGTATGTATCACCGTGCTTCGCTCCTGTGGCCTTCACCGCCTCTTCGT